TGGCTGTATGGCATTCCATTCAATTCAATTCAATTCCATTGCATGAAAATGCCTCCCCCAGCCATAGGAAATCAGTCAAACTAATGGCGCTTGATTCTGTCTATTGAAAAGTCGCATTCGCTGCCTCTGGTAGCAGCAGAAAGTCTCCTTCTTTTTGGCCAAATGCATTCCGCTGACATTGAGAAAGGTGCAGCCAGCAGCAGGGCCCAGAAGAAGTCATAGAAAAGGGATTGATTGGCATTGCGAATATGGATGATGTTGTTGCGGATGCTGGATGAGTTTTTAGGCGTAACTAACTTTATTTCATGCTAATCAAAAGTTAAATTGCAAATCGAACGGAAAGGAAATGCACCGACATTGGATCTATCTCGCCTGCCCTGCCCTGGCCTGCCCTGCCCTGGCCTGCCCGGAACCAGATCGATTTTAGTCTTTCAATTATCAACAAAAACTAGAAATGAAAACTATGCAAGTCCCCAAATAACTTTGGCCATGGCCCATCGAAGGGAGCGGAAGGGTGGGTTTTTTTTTTTTTCAATTTACTAACGGAAATCCCAGGCAGTAAAGCGCATTCAATCAACGACTGCTGCTAACTCTGTTGCCCCAATGGCGGGTATATGTGGCTGTGGATGGGGCATTAAATTTATATGTCAATAAATCTCGAAGAGCAAAAGGCAAACGCCAAGTCCTGCAGAAAACTTATTAGCCAACGCGTTTAAGGCTATTAAACCGCACCCAGGCAGGTGGGGCCGCCGACGGCGCTGTGCCAGTTACACGAACTATAAATCAGAGGCCTGACATGGCCAGCAATCGGGCTGTGAACTCGTCCCCCCCCACCCCACCCGATGCGCTGCCAGCTACGAATAATTGATGAAAGCTGCTGCAAAGGCTTAAAATATGCTTCAGAACTTCAGTACTCGATGAAAATGCTGCAATGCCAGCTGACAAATATCCAGTTAAATATTTGCAACAGGAAAAGCAGGAAACACATTTCAATGCTCTTCCGTTGTGTGTGTTTAAGTAAGTTGCATCGGGGACTTACAAAATTTGCTGCAAGTAAAAAATATCTTGTTTCATTTTTGGTTTCTTTCTTTTTTTCTTATTCGCCCTCCCTCTTCGCTCGGCTGTCCATCAAAGCTGCTGTGCGCCACAAAATGCGGCTAATCGCAGACATGTAAACACAGTTATTCTGCAAAAGTACAAAGCCGCAAAGCGGAGGGACACTCAGAGGGAGGGAGGCAGAGACACTGACAGAGACTCATGTGTAGATAATTTCATTGTATGCTTGTGGCATGTGGCATGGTAGGGGGGGGGCTACATAATTCGTCATTCGTACCGTGATACACTTCTTCTTCGTTGTTGGATGTTTGCTTTCGGGGTGTGATACCTTCCGGCTGGAGTATTCCCATTTCGAAGCTCAATTGTAAGTATTTAATCCATCAATCATTCAATACTGCATATCAATTATTATTGTCTGTTAGCTATTTTCTGTGCTGTGGAAGTGTATCTAAAGTTTTGCCATTTTTTGTGGTTTTTATTGTTGGTGGTGGCCCTAAGCGTTTGTTATTAATCAGTCAGCCGGCAAGTCAGACCCACTTCACACCCTTTGCACGCACACCACACACACATCCCCTCCCCACCCCTAACCCCACCCGCACTCTGTTCTGTTCTGTTCGGGGCTGGCATAAATCTCAGACAACGCGTCGTATGAGTGATGTCAAATGCAGCCAGACACTGAGAGCTGAAAGCTGAGAACTGCCGCCCGTTGTGGCCATCATTAATAATACTTTTTAGTTTGCATACAAACACAGAGAGAGACATGTAAGAGCATCCTTCTTGGGCATGTACCCAGCAGCGTGGTGGCTAACAAATTGCCAGTGCTCGGGGCAGCAACAAAATTGCAATTAATCAAGCAGACAAAAATCTGGCGAGGCGGCCCCAGAGGCACCCGCCCATCCTCCGTTACTCGTTACTCATTCCGGCGAATGTTGCATTGCCAACGAATATGATGTCACTAATCAACAGAGAAAGAGAGCGAGAGTGGGAGAGCGTGAGTGGGAGAATGGGAGTGGAAGAGGCGCTGATTGGGGGTAGGTCAATGTTCATCGATTGGTCCAAACTTAACTTAAAGCCTACCCCTGGATTATGCACAAACAAAAAAAGAAATAAAACCGAAACGGATGACCAAGGGTAGAAATGTAAGAACCAAGAAATTAAATTATTTGTGAGCAAAAGACGAAACGAAACGAACCGAACCGAACTGAGTCCCAGGCCCAAGCAGAGCAGCATGTGGGGATCTAGAGAAAAATGAGCATGGCAACAAGGCCATGCAACAAACACACCCACACACACACACATAGGTCTCAGACTGGGCAACAAGTGAAAATCCATTTGTTAGAGGAAATCGTGCAAAAAGCTTAAATACGAAGCTTAAACATAAGTAGCAACGAATGGAGCACACACAACCCCACACCCCACACCCCACACCACACACCCCGAACCTACATCAAGCCCAACCCCACTCAAACCCAACAAGCAACCCCACACACTGCGATACATACATACATATGTGTACCCTACTCGCACATGTACGACTACACATATATGGGCCAGCTTCCAGGCCAAAAAACTAAATGAACCACCAGCGAGCCTCCTCGCCTCGCCTTCTCCTTCGCCGCTGTAACCTTCATCCTTGCCAGCATTTACCTGAGACCTTGCCACGGGGTAGCAACCAATTGTGGTGCGATTCGTAACAGGAACAATCTTAGCCTCTCAGCCTGTGAGGCATGTATTTATGCCACAATTTTGGAAGCATTCGGCAGCTAATTTCCAGAGCATAAAACTCTTCTCCATGGAGTACGAATACGAGCAAATCCTATGGGCAAAACATTCTTCCCGGTGCACGGAGAGTGTGTCCCCACTTTCGTTGTGTGTGCATTGAAATTTTGGCACCGCTGCCACCTTTTGCCTCTCCAGCTTCCACATCTTTGTGTGGCTTTTGGTGTTGTTGTTGGGACCTCCTCGTCTTAGCTTTTAACGTGTTTTACCGTTCGCTTCTTTTTGCGCATAAAATGAGCAGGCAACAGGACCGTGAAGCACAGTATATATGTACATATGTGTGTGTGTGTGTGTGTATGCTTCGACCGCACGGCTCGTCTCCCTTGGGTAAATTTTCGTATTTAAAATATATGACCAAGAAATTTTCCAAACATTATTTTTTAATTTTATTTTGCTCATTTTTTTGGGTTCTAAGTTTTCTTTTTACCGCAAATCAATTTACCTGGCTCCAGAAATGAGAGCGTAAGGAACGAGCATGGCAGCAGATAAACGGAAACGCAAAGGGTTGTCGGGTCGGTGGACGGGGGAGGATGTGTGTCTGTCTTCGAGTCTGAGTCTTTGGGCGTCTGTGGGATGCCTTTTGGGAGTCGCTGCCACTTGAATTTATGTTGCATTCAGCATTTAGGTTCTTAAGCAGCCAAAGGATTTTCCGGGGGCTTTGCCTCGCTTGCATTGGAGCGTATGGAAATGCATTAAGTGCTGCATGCGCGAGGATGTGCGGATGGAATTATGTGCTCGTTTATGTACCTTTTGCTCCAACGGAAGAACGTAAGAAAAACAAGCCCCAAAGAAGCTGGATAATAGCCAAAAAGTTGAGTGGAGTCGACTCGACTCGACTCAAGTGTTTGGCTGCTGAGACCTTTACGAGCATTCCGGCTGTGGGTTGTGGCAGGATAATAACCCGACAGAATGATGGATGCACACCGGCAGTTCTGCCAGTTATATTCACTGCTGACGTGTGGACTTCGTATAGCTCACAGCACTCAACTGTCGATGGAATTGGAATGATTATTGACAAGCGGCTATTTTGGATGCCATTTAAATTACCCGGAAAAATATACGAAAGCACAACCTAATCGATTTACGGTTCGAATAACTTTTAAAAATCGATAAAAAAATATTAAAAATAATTATATCCCTGCCTTGTTATAGTTTTAGTTGCATAGCAAAAATTCAAGATACAAGTGAATAAGTTTAACAACCACAAAATACAAAAACAAATCATTATAACAATATTTTGGATAAAAGTCGATAGCTTGTAAAATGTGGATAAATGTTGATACATTTTGGATAATTGTGTATGTATAATAGCCAAACACTATTTGTATTACCAATCCGGGGATATATACAAACTAAAAATGGATAAATTAGTTAATTATAAAAATTGTTTTCTTATTTTCTTATACTATTTTTCACGTGTTTGGATAAGTACAGACGATCCGGTCCCAGCCCAATCAACTTCCAATTGGCCTATCCATGCAATCTTTGAATCTGATAAAAATCATTTGCCGCTAAGTCTCACTTAGGGCTGATAAAAAAAAGGCATAAAAATCACAATATCTTTGGGCAAATTAGGGAAGTAATTTTCATCAAACGAGCCAATGGATCACAACGGATTTATGTAGACTTGTATGTATGGTAAGCCCTTATAGATGTACGCGTTAAGTATAAACGTAAAGTTGTTTTTCTGAGTGCAAGTCGATGGCACATGAGACCATTGATGATTAACAATAGTAATTTTTGTTGTCTGGGGCTGGGCTGGGCATCGATAAGACTTGCGAAAAAGTACAACAAAAAGTATATTTAGTAATAGTTGACCCGAAATACAGTCAGTCCAATGGTCAATGCCCACAAAAAAAAACAAGAAACCAACTACCAAAAACCAAAAACCAATAATCATGGCCACGGCCCATAAACATGGCATTAGAATACTCGTAGAGGCAGAATTAGCCCAAAAATTCCCCAAAGAGCACACACTTATGTCTCCAGTCTCGAGTTCGTGTCTGTCCACTCTCTCTCTCTCTTCGTTCTCTCTCTTCTCAGGGGGAGAGAGTTCGGCGACACACGCTGGCGATTGATGATAAGATTAATGGTGCGCCGGATAACGATGGCTGGATGTGGGGTATAAAAGCAGAGCGGACTGCCCACAGACACCACAACAGACACTCATCAGTGTGGCAACATGGCAACGAACTCTGGGTGGAGGCTACTCTGGCTGTGCTTGACCCTTGGCCTGCTCCCTGGCCTGAGTCATCAGGTGCGGCAATCACATTTGCATTCCGGGGAATCAATTATTTATTTGGATTTTGTGTTTGTGTTTTGTTTTGTTGCAGGCGTCGATCGCCGAGAATGACTACTATACGGCCGGAGTGGTGGAGTTCCGGCACACAGTGCTCAGCACCTCCGCCTGGTCGGACAATCTGGCCGGGCTATCTAGAGATCGTACAGTCGGCGAATGCCAGCGAGACGGACATCATTGTGTTTCCGGAGCTGACGCTGAACAGCTTGGGTCCGCAGACATTTGTGCCGGAGCCCAAGGACCAGATCGCCCCCTGCCTGGCCGATCCCAGTGCCACGCACTACGCCGAGTTCCTGGTGGCCCTCTCCTGTGCCGCTCGCAACGCCAGCAAGTACCTGGTGATCAATGTGTCGGAGCAGAAGCTGTGCACGGACACGCCCGAGGATCCACGGCCCTGTGCCGCCAATGGCCTCAATATCCACAATACCAATGTGGTCTTCGATCGCCAGGGGGTGGTCATCTCCCGCTACCGGAAGGTGCATCTCTATGGCGAGAACAGGAACAGCACCTACCAGCCGGAGCTGGAGACCTTCGAGACGGACTTTGGCGTCACCTTCGGCCATTTTATCTGCTTCGATATCTTGTTCTATACCCCGGCCCATCAGCTCATCCTGGAGCAGGGCATCACGGACTTTGTCTACCCGTCCATGTGGTTCTCCCAGCTGCCATTCCTCACAGGTGAGTGCCTTATCTACCCAAATTGGCATTTAATTAGAGACGCCCTCTCCAGATGAAGTGCCCTAAAGATTAGCCAATAATCTGTATCTGTATCTGTATCTCTCACACTCTCCCACTCTCCCGCTCCCTGACAGGGGTGCAAACACAGCTGGCTTGGGCCTATGCAAACGATGTGAATATGCTGGCCGCCGGCGCCAGTCGTCCTCTGGTGGGCAGCAGTGGCTCTGGCATCTACCATGGACGCGAGGGAGCCCTCACCAGCGTGATGGTGCAGGGCACCGGCGAGCGTAGCCTCCATGTGGCACAGGTGCCCAAGTATCCGGCGCGACGAGCCACACGTCGGCGGCGGCAGAGGCGAGATCTGAGCGGCGCCAGAGAGGCGATCAGCAGCTCGAGCTTCACCATGAAACGGGACTACCTGGAGAACTACCAGAGCGAGCTGCTCTCGATCGTGGCAAACCAGTCCGGCAGTCTCACGCGGGACATCTGCCATGAGAAGTTCTGCTGTCACTTTGACATGGAGTGGCGCCCAGTGGAGGGCGGCGGTGGGGGAACAGCGAACTACCGGCTGGGGGCCTACGATGGCTGGCGCAACGAGGCGTCGGTGGACGCCAATTACATACGCAACTGTGGCCTCTTCGCGTGCTCGGGCCCCACCATCGAAGAGTGCGGCGGTCTGCTGCCCGCGGAGCAGCAAGGGCCGGTCTCGGCCTTCACCCGTCTGGAGATCGGGGCCACCTATCCGGAGTCGAGCGAGTTCCTCCTGATGCCGAGCACCGTGCTGGATAGCCTCCTGCCCCTCCAGCCATCGCAGTTCGAGTGGTCGCAGCAGAAGCCATCAGAGAACAGGTGAGTCGTCGTCCATCTCAGTCAGCAGCCTTCCTTCAATCTCTTAACTTTCGCACTGAATCCCTTCACTTCCGCTGCAGCTATCAGCACGAGGTTCGCTTTGCCCTGCGCGACTCGGCCGAGGCCGGCAAACTCCTGACCTTTGCCATCTACGGCAATTACTACGATGAGACGTGTACCTTTGGCGTCGGCTCCGAGGAGCAGCAAGTGGCCTGCGGCTATAAGAATGGATCGACTCGGCTCGTGCTCTTTGCCGCTGGTCTGCTCCTGCCACTGCTACTCCTCCTGCGGGGCTGATCAACCGCTAGGATATTCTTTAATTCTATAATTTTTTTGGTTTTTTTTTAAGAGGAATCGAACGGGGTGTGCTCATATATATTTACCATAAACTGCAATTTAAAATTTAAATTATCATTACAAAATTATTTACTGTAAGCGAATCATTGTCTGCGACGCAATTACCAGTTTGTTCTTTTTCTTTCTCACCCACACTCATCAATGCAGAGGAACACGCTCAAAGCTCGCTCTCATTAGCGCACAACTTTAATCCTCTCTGAGCGCGTCTTCATTCATTACACGCTCTCTCACTAGCACGGGTACAGCAATGGGATAGGCGAAAGGCAAGATGCAACGGTAAATCAAGCACAAAAGAATTCTTGAGCAGTGCACAGACCAAAATACGACTAGATTGTGACGCAATACAGGCTTTATGTCACATAAGCAGAGTACACGCTACATATGTTTATATGTACTTATGTTTTGAATATAAATAAACGGCAAAACGGTTGCTGGCGAATGGTTGCCGTGCTAGATAACTGTACCTGCATCGTGGGCAATCCTTCCAGTTGAAAGATACACGCTTGCCCTCCAAGCTCGCTAATTCCCAATTCATCCTCAGTCGCGTGTTTCTTTCGCCTAAAATGCTGCCAGAGAATCAGCAAATCGAATGCACAATAAAATCAAAGAGCAGCAACAAAGGCGAGACGGCGGCGGCGCGTTGATTAGCTGCGATAAGATTGAATTTAGAGATCTGTACAAATAGTGGGAGCGCGCCAGGCATGGCGTGACTGCCTCGCGAGAGAGACAGCCAGAGAGAACGTGAACCGGTTGGCCAGACACAGTTAGTCTGGCTCCTACGTAGTGCGTGAGATGATCATGTGGCTGAAACGCTGCCGGCTGCTTTTTTGTGTGGTGTTGGTGGTGCACCTGGCTGGTCGACCGATCACTGGCAATGGCGATTTTTATACGGCTGGCGTGGCAGAGTTCCGGCCGGCGGTGTTCGGTGGCAGTTCCGAGCAGCTGCTCGAGGAGAATCTGCAGGGCTATCTGGAGCTGATTGGCGCCGCCAATGGGTCCAGCGACATACTGGTCTTTCCCCGAGGCCACACTCAACAGTGTGCTCCAGCTGACGGCGGTGCCAGCACAAACGGAGCACAGTCTGTGCGAGCCACACGATGGGGATGATCCCCGAGTGGCGGAGTTCCTGCGCCGATTGGCCTGTGCGGCACGCAACGCACGCACCTACCTGGTGGTCAATGTCAAGGAGCGGGCAGAGGAGGAGGCCACGTCGGTGGGTGACAGGGGATACAGCATCTACAACACCAATGTGGTGTTCGACAGGAACGGGGCGGTGGTGTCGCGGTATCGAAAGTGGAACCTCTACCTGGAGCCGCTCACCAATCGCACCCCATCCGCCGAGCTGGCCACCTTCCGGACGGACTTTGGGGTGACCTTCGGGCACTTCATCTGCTTCGACATGCTGTTCTATACGCCGGCCCAGGAGCTGGTTGAGCGCTTGGGCATGCGCCATGTGATTGTCACCAAAATGTTCAACTCGGAGCTGCCCTTCCTCACGGGTAAGACTTCTCAATGGAGTTCTCAATGCTTTCACTTTCCTTGTGGATAATTCTGTGCTCGCTTCTGGCAGCCTCCCAACTCCAGCAGGGCTGGGCCTGGGCCAACAATGTGACTCTGCTGGCTGCCGGTGCCAGCATGCCGCAGGCCGGCATCAGCGGCAGTGGCATTTATGCCGGCCAGCGGGGTGCCCTCACCAGGATCATGGTGTCGGATCGGACGGAGGGTCAGCGACAGCTGCTTTTGGCTCAAGTGCCAACGGATGGATCGCAATGGACACCCACGGAGCCTCCTCCCGCTGATGAAGGCGATGGTGCGGGAGTGCAGCTGAAGCTACTCCAGCAGCCGGACATTGGCAGTTACGCCACTTGGGCCCTGCCTTTGGTCAATGGGAGTTCGGCGAGCAAGCGGCTCTGCCAGGCGGATCTCTGCTGCGATTTCCGGCTCAGCTGGAACCTGCTCGGCGCTCGGCCCGAGTACCACTATCGCCTGGGCGTGTCCGTGGCCGAGCGTCGCTACGAGCAGGAGCAGTACAGCTCCATTCGAGTGTGCGGCCTCTTCGCCTGCCGCGATGGCAGCCTCGAGAGCTGCGGCCTGCTCAGCAATCGGGACGCGGAGGGAAGCGGCGATGGCGTGGAGTTCACCGCGCTGCGGATCAGCGGGGAGTTCGTCAGGCGAACGCGTCGCCTGCTCATGCCGAGCACCCTTACCTCCGCCCTGTACGCGCTGCAGCCTTCGGAGGTGGCCTGGACCATGCAGGAGGTGCCTGCGAATGACAGCCACACCCACACGCAGCTGGAGCTGTGCCAGCCACAGAGCCACCTGCTGACCTTTGCCCTTTACGGAAACTACTTTGAAGAGTTCGCCTCCAGCGGCGTGGCAGCTGTTGGCCGGGGTATGCTGACGATGTGGCTCCTCCTCCTCACGATGTTGGCGTGCGCGTAATTCCCCTTCTACTACACGGTATATTTATGTCGATGCACACAGAAAGTAGCGCAGAAAGGAAACATTCCCACCTGTTCCTACGCTTTCGAAACCAATTTAAATTAAAAAATATCACTGCTGGGAAATATGCAGGTACGAATATGTGTGTATAATGTAACCAACCATGTGTTTGTGTGTTTGGAAAATATTCTAAAATATATTTAAAGTGCTGCGCGCCATTCAAATGCAAAATACTCAAAAATCTGAATGGTTTTCCATTGGCAATAATTGCTCATAGGTTTGCAATAAACATGGCTGAGTGCCCATAAATCAGGCAAGGCACACAAGAATATTATTTATTTAGCCACAAGACAGGAAACGTTTTTCGTTGTTTCGTTTTCGTTTTCCTTGCCGCCTGGCAGATCATTAAAATCAATGTGATGCCTCGCACTCGCACTACACTTTGCACTTTGGATAGAGAGTATTTATGATTTTCCCTAGACATTCCATGTGGCTTAAAGCACCTACATTAATGATAGTGGAATCGAAAAAAATAAGAGACACTTCGTTCCGCGGGCTCTGCCAATTTCTGAAAAGTTCTAAGTTGTGAGATTTTACTATCTAGTATTATCCTATCCTTTTTTCCCCTATTCCTTTTTTTCCTATTTTATTTTTTATATCATTACTCGATTATTTTTATGGAATTATTCTAGAATGTTTAACAATATAATGCTAGCTATATTTCCGTGATTACTTCAGAGTACTAGCAACTACTACTACTAGTACTAACCTAGCACATGTCTCGTATTATTCTAGTATTTTCGTATTATTTTCTAGAATTTTGAAAATATAAAAACTATAGGTAACGATCTACAGCCCACAAGCTATCATTTTCCTCTTATGTTGCTCTTGAACTGCTTGCTAACGGTAATTAAGTGTGGCACACACACAATCACGATGATAGCCACATAACGGGGTCTATTTGGTTGTCTTATTTATGTGACTTGGAGGCAGAGGCAGGCCAATGCAGAGCGGGGTGAATGGTGTCAAGTTCATGTCATTAAAGGTGTGATTAACAAAAATTAGTAGCTGCTTAGCGGATACCCCAAAACCAATCTCCACACACACACACACACACAGACACAAGCATAGACAAAGGGAGAGACAGAGGGAGAGACAGAGCGAGAGAGTGAGAGGAGACACACACGTGGAGAGAAAGAGACACGCACACATGCAGAGAAGAGCAACAGTGTGCCGCTGCTGCTGCGACTGGAAAGCAACATCAACATCCAACACCCACACTACTCTCTTATCCATCAAAGCTTTCGCCCTATCAGGTGTGTGAGAGAAGCAACACATGAAACGGACGTCAGCGTCGACTGCGGCACCGACAGCGACAGCGACAGCGACGCTCTGCGTTGGCGCAGAGAAGTTTTCATTCATTTCAACTGTTGCTCCCCCACTTGTTAGCACACACGCGACTGCGACGACGACGGCGACTGCTAACTGCTAACTGCTAATGCGACTGCTTCGGCGACTGGAAGGCGCGTGGAGCGGGGACTATGATGAGCTTCCAGCCTTGGAGACTACAAGATGCGTGTGACCAGGGTGTATTCATTTGAGGTGGGATACAGCCATTCATCTGAGTAATTATTTCTGTAATTTCTATGTTTCTTTTTTATTTGGGGCTCATTTCCCTTTTGATTGCTACCTTCTCTTGATGCAATTATCGCAAAAGTTCTTTCTTGCATTGCCTTACACTTTGTTGAATATACACAGCAGTTTCTCCCATCAGATCTCTCATATAAGTCCGTTAGGAGCCTGGTACTGCCTCACCTTGCCGCATGAATATAGCTTGCGTGGGGCGGCCCACCTGTGTGCGTGTGTGTGTTCTTGAGTGTGCGTGAGTGTAGAGATTTTCAGAGTGTAGACTGCGTTATATTTGCCTTGAATTATTCACACAGATATGTTTTATGGATTCCATAGCAAAGGCGATGGCAAAGGAGAGCTTCGCTGCGCTGCGCTTTTGCCCGCCTCGCACGAGGCCCAAAAATGCAATTAAAAAGCGCAGTACCACTGTGGCTCCCCCTCTCTCACGGCTGTCATTCGCTCTATTCCTGCCGCTACCGCTATGCCATGCAGCTGGAGCCGACATCCAGCCACCGACACTCGGACTGGCTGTCTGGCCATTCGGCTCCTGCTCGGGCACTCCGTCGTCGTGGGCACGCCGCTGCCGGCGTCGCTGCCCGACGCGGTGCGTGCTGGCTGCCGCATGCTGGCATTCTGCGAAAGCTTTCGGCGCGTACAACATCCAGTAGGCGTTCAGCCTCCGAGCGGATAACATTGCGTTGTTGTAGTTCTTGGAGTCCAAGCAAGACAGACACTGTCTCTATATTTCTATCTCTTTCTCTTTCCCTCTCTATCTTTCCCTCTCTTACACACTCACAAACCCACACAAATACACACTCCCACACACACACACACACACACACACACACCGAGAAGAAGCTGTAAAATCTACCGTTAGAATCGAGTTTTTTAAAAGTTTTCAAAATAAGTGCGTGTTCTAAAATTTTTTAAAATAAAATAATCTTGAAATCGGTTAAAGAAAGAATTTCCAAATTTATTCAAGTTAGAAATTTAAACTTAAATACAAATTTTTGAGCTCGAAATTCAGAATCTTAAGCTAAAAAAAAAATATAAAATGGAAAAGAAGAATTTCCATTTTTCGAAATTTACTTGAGAAACTAATTTGAAATTTCAAAGGCAAACATATTTGAGATTTGGCAAATAAATTATTATTAATTGAAGAGAGAAATTAAATCAGAAAAATTAGAAATATTTCAAATCAATTTCGCTGTAAAAATCGGTGGCCTATCCCCTTAATTTTTTTTTTGCATTTTTGTTGTTGTAAGCTATTTTTTTTTAGTGTTTGTGTTTAAAGTTTTGGTTCTTTGGTTCTCGCTCTTGCTCTCTGCCTCGGAGGTAGAATTTTATTTGAAAATCCACGAATTAGCGCGCGCGCGAATACTCGCTTCGAGTATATGGTGCTGTAGTTCTATATAGTGCTATATATAACGATCCATAAAGCACACACACACACATATATACGCACACACACACACACTTACGCAGAGAGAGACACACATACACACACATACGCAGAAGAAGTCCTAATGTTGTTTGTTGCTATTTTTTTTCGGTTATTGTTGTGATTTTGGCAGAGACACCAGAAGATAAAAGACAACTCAAAAAGCTGATCAGCAGAAAGAATTCAAAATTGAAAAGAGAATTACAAAAAAGTTAAAAGTATCAAATCATATTAAATCAAAAGAAAGAAAGAAAATACAAATTGAAATCGAAATAAACAAAAAAACAAAAAAAAATCGTGAATCGGAAAGGAGAACGGAAAGAGCAGTCCGACGGAGAACGGAGAAGGCCATTCAACCGATAAAAGGTAAATGCTAATGTTTATTGAATATTTTTTTTGGAAACATTTACAAAATACTTAAATAGAATCTGTGTGTGTGTGTCCGGAAATATATGCATTTGCATGGCGTTTCTTTGAGTGTCACACATTATCTAAGGAACAAATAACATATAACGGTATTTGGGATATAATATTTTTTGGTTTTTCAGAAAGAATTTCCTTTTAAAAATCAAACAGCCAGTGCTTTATATAATGGAAAATTCCCAAAAAATTTTGTTGTATAAATTCAAGAATGTCCATAAAGTAGTTATTGCATTTCATTGGAAATGCAGGATTTGCAGGGGGTACATTATTAATCCTTGGAATCCTTTTATGAAAATATGCGCAATGCTGAAACGCTCACGACCACTACCCCACCAACCCCCTCCCGTGGGCTTTGTAAAGTTGGGGAAATTCTGGGAAATACAGGAAATGCATTAGTCTCTGCTCTGTGTTGCACAGCAATGGATTTCAGTTCTAGGAAATACCTTTTTGGCACAATGAAACGTAAATTCCAATGTCCATCGCATATTGCTTTTTGACTCTACCCCAAAAATAGTATAAAGCATACGCAGTGCTTCAGAGGGGGGAGAGCATACATTTCTCTGTGTGTTCGTTGTGAAAGATGGAATTCTGGGAAGATGTTTTCATCAGAGGAAAGTGCAATTGCATTTTCAGCTGCTTTCAAAAATATTTCTCACAGATGTACATCACAAAGTGCTTGCCCGCAGAACGAAAACATTGTTGAGAAAACAATAATTTGTTTATGAAAAATGAACATTAAACAATAACGAAAATAAATAAGTAAATAATAATAAATAAATTGGTAGCAATAGGGTAAATAAATTTCAAAAATATAAAGCTAACTAGGAAACTTTTAAAATTCTTCAGCAATCAGCAAATTTGTGTGAAAAATTTAATATATTTTAAAGTATTTAATGAAAGGAAGGAATTCATTTTGATGTTGGTGTTGGGCGGATTTTGTACTTTGGAAAACGGTGTTGCCGAAAGGATGTCTCTCTGTCATCTCTGGTTTCGGTTTCGGTTTCGGTTTTAATTTTCCTTTCCCGCATTCACATTTTCCCTCATTCCCTGTTATTCTTTTCAGTATTTTTCTTCCATTTGATTTTCTGTTTTCTCATCTGCTTATTTTTCACCCAAATTGCTTCTTTGCTTTCATTCTCCCTGTGTTTACAATTTGATTTTGTAATATCCATTTTGCATTTCAAATTTCCGTTTATCTTTTACCATTTTTCCTTACATTTACAAATTTGTCTTCTCATTAATTGTCCATTGGTGTTTGGTTTTCTCATTTGTTTGCTTATAATTGGTGATTTTCTTTAATTCTCCTTTGGATTTCAGTTCGCTTTCTCCGTTTAATTGAGTTTGGGATGAAACCTTTTCCTCCATCATTTCCATCTCTTTCGAATTTGTGAACATCTTGCCAGTCTATTAGGTTCCCTCGCTATTCCAATATTCCAATTTGATTCTCTTTCTATCTTTCCTCCATGCTGTGCTGTGTTTATATTATTTATGCACATTTTCTGTGTAGCAAATCAGATTCGGCCAACGGCAAACTGTGCGTATGATTAATATCACAAAATATGCAGTGGATTTGTATTGTGATCCAAAGAACAGACGGGGTTGGAAATCTTTGCAGGGCATGTGGCATGGGATTATTGGAAATGCTTTTTCCTTAATTATTGGCCAAACGGCATTAAATTTTTCAAGTATTTACTAAAGCTTAACCAAAACAAAAAACACACACACAAACACAAACAGAAACAGAAACAGAAACAGAAACAGAAAAAGAAATACATATGCAATACACGAAATAAAAGAAGCGAATATGTGTGTACATATGTACGATTTTTGGATTTTCTCGATTTTCACGATTTTCCACTAAATAAACTTTTGATTGTGTGTATCTTTGGTATACATTACGAGTTCGAGTTCGAATACGAGTACGAGTACGAGTACGAGAATGACTACAAATACGAGTGTGTATTGCACGATTATTTGTGCGATAGCTGGAGGAGGGCATTTGCCAGCAATTGGCAGCTGTTCGATCTACGAGTACACTCACAAAAATATTTGAATGCATGTTCCTAAAACTGTTGTTGACATATTTTCCCACTTAAATAAAATTTAATTTATTCCTTTTATTGCACTTCGAGCAAAAAAATATAGTTCCTTTTAGCTTATTTTAATATTAATACAGGGCTAACATTTGTAAGGTTTTTGGAAATAGAATCAACAACATTAAGGCCTCAATTGGATGAATGATTTAGCTTGAACTTTGGTTCAATATTCCTTGGAATTTGGGTAATCGATTTCTCGAAGTATATTTTGGATACATCAATAAAATCGCACTCTCTGTCTTTCACTCTTTCCTCTGTCATCATTCTAGATTTTCTTATTCGATTTCTTGCATTCTCCCGCTCTTTCTCCCGTCCTGGCTCTTTATGTATGCAGTATATAAATGTATTTCGCGCACTAAATGAATTGATTATAAATCCCATTTGAGCGTCTCATTAAACATCAACCGTAGCATATGTATAAACTCGTTGTACTATTCGTACGTTATATGCTATATGTACTATATGTATTTACTCCTCGCATTTCGTTGTATATTTATGTTCAATATATAAACAATTAGTGCGGAATTTTCGTGTGTGTGTTTTTGTGTCTGGTATTTCTTTTGGGGCCGCCTGAACTTTAAAGTTTTTTTGTTTTTTGTTTTTTGGCACTGCTTTTCCATTTCCATTCCCCAATTTCACTGCTCTGTTTCTTATGGAAGGGACTGCAAATTGAATTAACGCTAAATGTAAATGTGTATGTAATGCCGCGATCTGAAAACCAGAAAACAAATACAAACACAAACACACTTATCCAACGCATACACACAGACGGACGGCCGGACGGACGGACGGACGGACGGACCGACGCATGGACGCATGGATAGACAAACGGACAGAGTGGACAGGGCCGGACAGAGCGGATAAGCGGACAACGAGCGGACGGAGCGACATGTAAACAGAGGCAGAGGCAAAGGTAACAAATGGCTTTTCAAATAAATTAGCGGGCGGCATTTGTAAACAGAGAAAGATGCAGAGATTAAACAGAGAGCAGAGACCAGAGAGAGAGAGAGAGAGAGAAAGAGATACAGTTATGCAGAGAGAACAAGAGAAGGATGCAAAGATTTAGAGATAGACAGACAAATAAGCATAGTGAGGAGAGGGAGGGAGACGGACGTGCGTGTGTCTTCTTCTTTAGGGGCCGTATCATCAATTATCGAATCCCAATAAATTCCCTCACTTTCTTGCAACATCATCGGCACCACTGTGCGTATACGTAATCTGCTGAGAACCCATTACATTATCCATAGAAATACATTGTATTCTGGCCAAAAAAGGTCCACTCCTGCACACGAATTAGGTCTGAAATGAAGAAAACGAGATTGGACAGGATTCAAAATTTAAACTAAATCGATTTTAGGCCACAAGCGTTGCTCAAATGATGTCAACAGCTAAATCATAGCCACAAGTGATGGCACATCGATGAGGAATGCAGTAATGAGAGGCGGCAAAACATTTCCTTAATATTCTATCGCTAAACTTTATGGCTAGCCCTCGCTGCCACGTGGCAGACGCTACACAAAGGGTGAATGAAATGGGAGATGGGGCTGGGATTCCATAGAGGATTCCATTCCGTATTCCGATTTGCAGCAGCTGTAACCGGTTGCAAGTGGTTTTATCAGATTCGATTGCTTGCTTTTCTTTTTCTCTTTCTTTTTTGGGCGAAACTTTTCAAACTGAAGGACGCCGTCTGGACGCCACGAGTATTTCAATTAACCATCAGATGATGCTTAGGGGCATTAGAATGGGGCATGGTGGCAGGGGGCAGGGGTTGCACAGAAGGCAATCCATTAATTATACAATTAGATACTCGGACTGGGCAGATGCACCACCAGCAGCAGCAGCAGCAGCAGCAGCAGAAGCAGGTGGTGCGGGGGTGGCAGGTGCATTGCTTAGGGGAAAACAAAATCGTGGAAAATCTATCCATGTGGCTGTGAGTGTGTGTGTGTGTGTGTGTGTCTTTCTCTTTCTTCTTTTGTGCTGTTTGCTGTTTGCATCGTCTGCCCCGCCGTTTGATATGCAAAATTCAGAATGTGTTTACCTTGAAATATGCGCCATGTCACTTTGCCACTGATGCGAGTGTTGAATACTCGATGGAGCACATACACACACACACAGCCGGAGATAGGGACATGAAGGGTCACAGAGAAGGTGAGGGAGTGGGAGAGAATGAGTGTACCAGCGAAACAGAGTGAACATTGCTGCAACGTGAAATGGTCGTGTACATTGTGCTCGACTGCTGGCCCCCTGCCTGACAGGTGAACTGCGGCACATGGGGCAGGGCAGCCCCTCGAGTGGGGGCAGATGAGTGCAGGCGGGGGTCACGGGGCAAGTGGAGCTGCCTGTCACATTTGATGAGCTGCTGCCCCATGGGGCAGCCCATAAACCATTGGGGGGGGGGGGCACTGGTAACCCTCTTTTCAAATGTCATTGCGAGTTGGAGTCTCGTCCACTCATTAACCAGAGATTCGGGAGCGGGGCCACAACGTTTCCTTTCCCCTATCAACGCTCCCCTTTTGCTCCCCTTTTTCTATTGCTGTTTTCCCATTTTCATTTCCTGCATTCGTTCGCTGGAGGGGAATGGTATTCGGGATGGGTTGTTAATCGTTGCATTTAGCATCAGTCACTCGCTGCTGCCGCCACTCGCTATAGACTATAATCGCTGCAAGCAGTGCTAAGCAGTTCAGTTTCCTTTGCGTAAGATCTCTAAGGGTTCCCAGCTGTTGCAACTGTTTCCCCTTTTCCAAACCAATTTGTGGAAAGTAATCTGAAGATACGGCAGCAGCAGCAGCAGCAGCAATTGCAAGTATCCGGGATATGCCCTTGCCCTCACCTTGGGCCTAAAATTCA